AAAGGATAGAGGATTCTAATAGGATTCCCAGGTTCTAGAATGGGGCAGCAACTGAGTCGAGGCAGAGGAAGCATGAGACAATGTAGGGATGAGTGCAGAGCTCTTGGTGAGCCTGAATGGAACTCTGATCCTAGGAGACTTCCCTGCTTTTGCACAAAACATAAAAAGAAGAGGGAACACTCCCAGTCGTTTTATGAAACACATCTCCCTGATACCAAAACCAAAGATGTTAAAAGAAAAAAAACCTTTAGACTAATATTCCTCATAAATGCAAAAAAAAAGTTTTTAATATAAGCAAACTTAATCCAAGAATACATGAAAAGGATAATACATCATGACCAAATGGGTTTGATCCTAGAAATGCAAGGCTGGTTTAAAACATTCAGAAAACCTGGGGCATCTGAGTCGAATGCTTGCTCTCAGCTCAGGTCTTTATCTCAGGGTCAGGGGATCAAGCCCTGTGTCAGGTTCTGCACTGAGTGTGGAGCCTACTTGAGATTGTTTCTCTCTCTGCCCCCTCCCCCACTTGTGCACTTTCTCTCTCTCCCTCTCTCTCTCTCTCTCTCAAAATATAAAAAAAATTTTTTTTCTAAAAGAATTTTTTAATTCAGAAAACCAATAAATATAATTCACTGTATCAACAAAATGAAAAACAGAAAGTTGATCATATCAGTAGATGAAGAAAAAGCACATGACAAAATTCAGTACTCATGATAAAAAGTGTCAACAAATTAGGAATAGAAGGAAACATCCTTTACCTACTAAAAGACATCTACCAACAGAACGTGGTGAAAGAGTGAATGTTTCCCCTAAGAACAAAAACAAGGAAAGGGCACCCACTCTTACCACCCCTATTTAACATTGTATTTCAGGTCTTAACCAGAGCACATAGGTACTTAATTAACGAATGAATTAATAGTGCACGGTACCAAAAGGAAAACGTGAAACGCTATTCACAAATGTCATGATTTGGGGTTCAGAAAGCTACTGGAACTAATAAGTGAATTTAGCAAAATCACAGAATACAAGGTCAGTATACAAAAACCAACTTTATCTCTATATACTAAAACTATTAGGGGCACCTGGGTAGCTCAGTTGGTTAAGCATTTGACTCTTGGTTTCGGCTCAGGTCATGATCTCACAGTTTGGGAGTTTGAGCCCCAGAGTCCAGTTCCACCCTAACAGCGTGGAGCCTGCTTGGGATTCTCTCTCTCCCCCTCTCTCTCTGCCCCTCCCCTGTGCTCACTCAGGCTCTCTCTCTCTCAAAATAAATAAACTTAAAAAAATAAACTATTAGAAGATGAAATTTTAAAATATGTACTATTTGTGGGGCACCTGGAGGCTCAGTTGGTTAAGCATCCAACTCTTCATTTCAGCTCAGGACATGATCTCAGGTTCATAAATTCACTCCCAAGTTGGGCTCTGTGCTGGCAGCTCACAGCCTGCTTGGGATTCTCTCTTTCCCTCTCTCTCTCTCTCTGCCCCCCCCCCTCTCTGCCCCTCCCCTGCTCTCTCTCCCTCTCTCTCTCAAAATAAAATAAAACTTTAAAATAAAATAAGATATATATTATTTGCTACAAATCCAAATACATGAAATATATAGGAATAAATTTAACAAGATATATGTTAAGTATACATACACTAAAATCTGTACAACATTGCAGAGGAAAATTTTTTATTAAACGTTATTTATTATTGACAGTGAGAGACAGAGCATGAGCAGGGGAGGTGCAGAGAGAGAGAAAGACACGGGATTTGAAGCAGGCTCCAGGCTCTGAGCTGTCAGCACAGAGCCGGATGTGGGGCTCGAACTCACAAACCGGGAGATCATGACCTGAGCCAAAGTTGGATGCTTAACCAATTGAGCCACCCAGGCACCCTGGAAAATCTTTCAACAAATGGAGAGATCATAACATGTTTATGGAGTGGGTGACTCAAAATCGTGATGTCCTTTCTCCCCAAATTGAACTATTCATTCAATGGAATCCCAATAAAAATCCCAGAAAGTTTTTTTGTAGAAAATGGCAAGCTAATTCCAAAATTTATATGAAAATCTGGACGCGTAGGTAGCTCAGTCAGTTGAGTGTCCAACTCTTGATTTCTTCAGCTCAGGTCATGATCCCAGGGTTATGGGATCAAGCCCCACTTCAGGTTCTGCACTGAGCATGGAGCCTGCTTGGGATTCTCTCTCTCTCTCCTCTCTCTCTCTCTCTCTCTCTCCTCTCTCCTCTCTCTTTCCTCTCCCTCTCTCTCTCTCTCTCTCTCAACGTAAAATAAAATAAACTTTATATGAAAATGCAAAACATCTAGAATAGCCAAAACATTTTTGAAATAGCAGATTTGGAGAGCTCACTACCTGATTTCAAGATTTGCTATCATGCTACAGTAATCAAGACTGTAGTGTTGGCACTATGGCAGACAGATCAATGGAACAGATTAAAGTCTAGAAATAGACCAACATGTACATGTTTAAATGATTTTCAACAAGCATGCCAAGGTATTTCAATAGAGAAAGGATAGCCTTTTCCAAAAATAGTGCTAGATGAACTGGGTGGGGATCCACTTGAGGTCCCGGGAAAAGAAATGAACCTGACCCTTAGCTAACACTACACATATAAATTAACTTCAAATCAGTCAAAGATGTAAAAGCTCAAACTACAAGACTTCTAGAAGAAAACTTAGGAGAAAACTTTCACAACCTTGGGTTAGGCAAGATGTCTTCAAAAAGCAAGGCCATGAGCCACTGAACTTTGTCAAATTTAAAATTTTCTGCTCTTCAAGAGACACCATTTTAAAAAATGAAAGACAAGCTATAGGCAGGAGTAAAATATCTTTGTAATACATATACATGACATAACACAGGTATACAAAATATATAAACAATCCCTACAGTTCAGTAAGAATAATCCAAAATAGCCCGATTTAAAAATGGATGAAGTATTTAAACAGGTATTTTGCAAAAGACACACGAATGACTGGTAAACACTTGAAAAGATAGTCAACATCACTTGTCATCAAACAAAAACAAACACAGATGTCACTATATATATCTACTAGAATGGCTAAAATTAAGAAGACTGACAATACCAAGCGTTGGTGAAGATGTATGGCAACCTGAATTCTCATACATTGCTGGTACAAATGCAAAATGGTACAGAACTTTGGAAAGCAGTTTTACAGTTTCACATAGTTTAATACATGCTTACAGAAGGATCCACCAATTCCACTCCTAAGTATTTATCAAACAAGAACTAAAACATATTTTAATGCAAAGACTTGCTCTCTAACACTCATGGCACTTTTATTCATAATATATGTCTAAAACTGAAAACTATCCAAATAGCCATCAACAGGTATATCAGTCAGGGACATATCACAAGGAATTGGCTTATGCAGTTATGGGGGCTAGTGACAAGCCTGAAATCCACAAGGCAGTGCATCACGAAAAGCAAACTGGAAGTTCTCTGGTAGGAGCTGATGCTGCGGTCCACAGGCAGAACTTTTTCAGGGAAACCTCCCACCCACATTACTGAGAGTAATCTTTATATAAAGGCAGCTGATTATAGGTGTGAATCACTTCTACAAAATGCCTTCACAGCCACACCATTAGTGTTTGATGGAACAGTGAGTATGATAGCCTAGCCACGTTGACTCAAAACTGACCAGCAGTTTGAGTACACAAATCGTGGAATACTACTCAACAATAAACAGAAACAAACTACTGATACAAGGACAATATGGATAAATAACTCTCAAAACACATTTTGTTCAACAAAAGGGCCAATGAAAAGACCGTGTAGGATTCTAGTTATATGAAATTCTAGAACCGTCCATAATGATTCACAGTGTCAGAAAGCAATTAGGTATTAATGTGAGGATATGGACTGCAAGGGAAACAAGAAAATTCGGGATAGCGATGGACATTATAACTGGACTGTGGTGGTGGCTACCCAGGTATATACATTTGTCAAAATTCGTCAAATCATACACCTTAAATGAGTGCATTTTTGTATATTTCTCAATAAAGTTGACATGTTAAGACGGAAAAACTAAAAGCTGATTCCTGCACAGCAGAAGCTCCAATCAAGGTTCCCGAGATATACATCCAGTTCCTCTCGCACCATTTTTGGAAAAGACTATCCTTCCCTTATTGAATTACCTTGACACTTCTGTTGAAAAGCCTTTAACCTTACGTGTAGGTGAGAAGTTTCCAGAATGGAAGGGAAGGATAAAGATGCAATGAGATCAACTATACTTCATTTTTTAAAAGGGGTGAGGGGAGGAAGCAAGGAAAAGGAATTCAAAGAGAGAGATCCCTGGTTATTTCTGACTCCCAGAGAGGTCACATGGGCAGAGCTGGACAGAGGGGGGTGTGGCAGGCTGAAGGGCAGCCTCCTCGCCACCCTCCCTCCCCGCAGTGTCCTGTGAACTGCTGTTGGTTAGATGACTGGCCCTGGTGAAGTCACTCACTGTACCCCATGGTGTATTTTCACCAGCTGCCAGAGCTGGTGACCTCTGGTGTCCTAACTCATCCCCACCCCTTCCTGTCCGTGAGAGAAATTCTTCTTCTGGAAACAGGGCTCTTCTCTGGGGCCCACACCCCTGCGAGACTGGCCCCCCTGGCCTTGGAAAAGGCCCGCACCGAGGCGGGTACGAAAAAAGGAAGGCGTCGAGCAGGAAGAAGCCTTAATGCTGCTTCCACTGGGTGGCAAAGCAAGCCCAAGCTAGGCGCTCCCACCCCGTACGCCCCGGTGAATCCCCAGGGGCCATGAAGCTGGTGCTCACAGCGCGGTCCCGGACCCGCGGCAACCACCTCACCTGGAAGCCCGTTAGAAACACAAATTACCTCGGCCCCACCCAGCCCTCCACGACCGGAAACCGCGGCGCCGGGCCGGCGTGGTGCTTTAACGAGCCCTCCAGGTGCGCCGAGGCACGGAGAGCCTCGAATGGAGGAGCGGAGTGGGGAAAGGAGGGCCTCTCCTTTAAGACGGAGCGGACGCCCCGCTGCCGCCCCTTCCCGGGCCTCCTAACAGCCTGCAGCCGGCGGCGGCCCTCAGGTGGGGCTGCGAGGAGGCGGGAGTCAGGGAGCCCGAGGCGCCCCGCGAGCGGGGCCGGTGGAGGCGGAGGCGGGCTGGCGAACGGGTCTGGCCGCAGGGGGCGTACAGCCGGGACCGCGACGGCGCCCCGCACTTTGCAGCGCGAGCGACCGAAGCGCCGGGGCCCGCCGCACGGCTGGCTGCGGGCCGCCGGGCCGTCCAGGGGCTCGGAATCGGGGCGGCCGGCCGGGATGCGGGCGGGAGCGGGGACCCGGGCCTCGCCTCACCGCGGGCGCCCCTTCCTCACAGCCGCCGGGACCCGGGCTCCGGCGCCCAGAGTCATGAACCGCAGCAGCACGAGCAGCGCGGCCGAGAAGGCGCCCACAGCCGTGCTCTGGGGTGAGTGGGGGCCCGGTGGGTGGAGGGTGGGGAGGGCGGCGGCGGAGAAACGGGGAGCCTCCCTGAGCCCGCCTGGCCTCCTCGCCCCCCTCCTACCGCAGGCTGTGAGCTAAACCAGGACAGGCGGACTTGGACCGTCAGACCGCAGAAGGAAGGGAAGCAGGACTGTAAGCTGTTGCTCAGTACGGTGGGTGCCCCGGCCCCCAGCAGCGGGTGGTACGGTGCGGCCGGGAGGGACGTGGGCGGCTCGGGGGAGCAGGCGCGTCTCTCGGGCCCCCGCAGGCGGAACAGGGCTGCCCTCCGGCGGTGAGGTGGCCCGTCTCCCACCGCCCTCAGATTTGCTTGGGGGAGAAAGCCAAAGAAGAGATGAATCTCGTGGAAATCCTGCCCGCAGCCGGCCAGGAAGACAAGAAGACCAAGCCCGTCACCATCGCCTCTCTCCAGGCGTCGGTGCTGCCCATGGTGAGCCTGGGTGGGCGTCGACAGACACAAAGGCGGGGTACGCCAGGGGCCCATATAGCCCTTGGACTGAGGAGTCAGAGAGCCCCGTTTCCATCCCAGCTCCCTCTTGACTAGCTTGGGCAAGTAACCCCTCTTCAAAATCACGTTTTGAAACCTTCTGATGCTGGAGACAGGACACGTTGATGACTTCCAACTTGACTGTGTGTCCAGAAATTCTCTCATCTCTAATAATTCATCTTGAGTTCTCTATGCATAAGTCATCACTGTTAATGACAGTTTCTGTGTCTTTTTTTTTTTTTTTTTTTAATTCTACCACCCTGTCTAGGACCTCCAGTGTAATATTGGGGAAGATTGTAATGGTAGATGTCCTTGTTCCTTTCTTGACATATATATGTGTATTTTTAAAGGAATGCTTCTAAATGTTTCTCCATTAAGAGTGGCACACCTGGTAGACACGCTTTAGAACCTCTCTTAATCTCACCGTTTGCTCCTCTCCTCTCCCTGACCCTGCTCAAACCACACTAGCTTTCTTGATGGTACCCTGAAAATTCCAAACCTACCCCCGCCTGGGACTCTTATTTATTGTTCCCCATGCTAGGAATTCACTTGCCCCTCACTTCAGCCCTTGCTCTTACGTCATCTCACTGAAGAAGTCTCTCCCAGGGCGCCTGGGTGGCTCAGCTGGTTGGGCTCTCAATCTTGACTCAGGTCTATAGTCTCAGTCGTGAGCTGGGGCACTGTGTCTGACATGAATCCTACTTCAAAAAAAAAAAGTCCTCCATGACCACAGACCACATCCCCTCTTCCTACCCTTCCATAACCGCTTTTCCCCCATGGAACCCATCACTGGCTTCCGTTTTCATATGTGCCTTGTCTTTCTCCCCAGCCAGGATACAAGCTCCAAGACAGCAAGGACTTTGCCTCTTTCATTTACTGCCTTATCCATAGTGCCTAGATAGTAGTATATTATGGCATATTGTAGAAACTGGCGTATTGTAGAAACTCAACATCTAATGAGTGAGTAAGGAAGTGAACAAACTTTGTGGGACTGGTTTGATTCTAAACTGTTGTCATTTAAGTTTTAGGTCTAGATGTTTAAATTTCTTTGAGTCAGTTTTTATATCAGCTTTATTGAGATATAATTTACATATAATAAGATCCATCAATGTTAAGTATACTACTTGATGCATTTGACAAATTTTGTAACTATCACTGCAGTCAAGGTAGAGAAAATCTCCTCTGCCCCCCACCAAAATCTCCTCATGCCTCTTTGCAGTCAGCTCTTTCCAACCATCACTGCATTCGGCAACCACTGATCTACTTTCACTATCTTCTGTTTGTCTAGAATTTCATTTATTTATTTTTAAAAATTTTTTAATGTTTTATTTATTTCTGAGAGAGAGAGCAGGGGAGGGGCAGAGAGAGACAGAAACACAGAATCTGAAGCAGGCTCCAGGTTCTAAGCTGTCAGCACAGAGCCCGATGCAGGGCTCGAACCCACAAACCTTGAGATCATGACCTGAGCCAAAGTCAGACGCTTATCCGACTGAGCCACCCAGGTGTCCCTAGAATTTCATTTAAAGGGACTCGTGTAATACATAGTCTCTAGTACCTGGTTTTTTTCCATTTAGCATAATGCTTTTGAGATTTATCCATGTTGGTGGTGAAACAGAAATGGGCTCCTTTTTTATATCTAAATAACATTCTCTTCTACAAATACATATATATGTCAAGATTTATTTATTCATTTACTAGATAACAGACATTTGGATCGTTTCTAGTTTTTTGTTTATTTTTTCTTTCTTTTTTTTTTTTACAAATAGTTTATTGTCAAATTAGTTTCCACTATTTTTTCATTTTTGAGAGAGAGTGTGAGCAAGGGAGGGGCAGAGAGAGGGGGGGACAGAGGATCCCAAGCAGGCTCCATGCTGACAGCAGAGCTGTTAGGGCTCAAATTCTGAAGTCAGACATTCAACCGACTGAGCCTCCCAGGCGCCCTGGGTAGTTTCTAGTTATACTATGAATAAAGCTCCCATGAAATTTGAGTGTATTTGTATGCACATATGTTTTTATTTCTCTTGTGTAAATACCTAGGAGTAAAACTGCAGGATCATTAGTAAGCATATGTTAAACTTTATTTCCCCCCTCCCATCCTCTTGCATATGTTAAATCTTACAGACCACTGCCAAATTATTTTCCAAATTACTACACCATTTCACATTCCAACCAGTTGTTCCACATCCTCACCAACTCTTTGCATTGTCAACCTTAATTTTAGCCATTCATAAATTTAGCCGTATGTATAGTGGCATCTCAGTGTGGTTATTATTTATATTTCTTTGATGACTAGTGATATTGAACATCTTGTTGTTTGGTCATTTGATACCTTTTTTAAAATGCCTGTTTAGATGTTTTGCCCATTTTTAGTCAAGTTATTCTTGATTGAGTTATATCTTATTGAGTTATAAAAGTTTTTTGTATATTTTGGATATAATTCTTTCATCAAAAATATTTATTTCAAATATTTTCTGCTAGTACATGGCTTGCCTTTTCATTCATAATAATTTCTTTGGGGGTGCCTGGGTGGCTCAGTTAGTTGGGCATCTGACTTTGGCTCAGGTCATGACCACACGGTTCGTGGGTTCAAGCCCTGCATTGGGCTCTGTGCTGACAGCTTAGAGCCTGGAGCCTATCTTCAGATTCTGTGTCTCCCTCTTTCTCCTACCCTCCCCTGCTCATGCTGTCTGTCTGTCTGTCTGTCTGTCTGTCTCTCTCTCAAAAATAAATAAAAACATTAAAAAATTAAAAAAAAATAATTTCTTTGAGGAGCACAAGTTTTTAATTTTTATAAAGTCCAATTTGGCATTTTTTTCTCTTATGGTTCTTTCTTTTTTTTTTTTTTCCCTGAGAAACCATTCCCTGACTAAGGTCGCAAATGCCTTTTTCTAAGTTTTCTTCTAGAAGTGCTATTGTTTAAGCTCTTATATTTAAGTCTGTGTGTTCCTCCCTTTCCAGATAATTTTTTGTATGGTATAAAGTAAGTATAGAGAAACACTTTTTTTTTTCCAAGCTAATACCCAATGCTCTAGCACTACTTTTTTTTTTTTTTTTAAGACTATCCTTTCACTATACAATTATGTTGGCATTTTGCCATAAATCAATTGCCTATGTATGTATGCATGTATTTCTGTATTTTTTTCATTGGTTTGTATTTTTACCTTTACCCTCATGACAGACTGATTTGATTATTATAGTTTTATAGTTAGTCTTAAAATTAGTGTGAGTCTTCCAGCTTTGTTTTTCTTTTCTAAAATTGTGTTGGCAGGGGCGCCTGGGTGGCTTAGTCGGTTAAGAGTCCGACTTTTGCTTAGGTCATGATCTCTTGGTTCGTGGGTTCTAGCCCCGCGTCGGGCTCTGCTGACTGCCAGCTCAGAGCCTGGAGCCTGTTTCAGTCTGTGACTCCCTCTCTCTCTGACCCTCCCCCGTTCAAGCTGTCTCTCTCTCTCCTAGAAATAAATAAAACATTAAAAAAATTAAAAAAAATTAAAAATAAAATTGTGTTGGCAATTTTAGGTCCTGAGCATTTCCATATAGATTTCAAAATAGGCTTTCTTTAAAAATCAGTCTGTTGGGATTGTGACTGAGATTGTATTGAATCTATAGACTACTTTGTGGTGATTGGCATCTTAACAATTTTTAGTCATTAATAATTGAACATATGTTTCTGTATTTGTTTAAATCTTTCACTTTTTCCTCTAATGTACATCTTTAACTTTTCCTACTAGTATTTTGTAGTTTTCAGGGAACTTGAAATTTGTAAGATCTACCCCAACATACTGCATGATTTTAGGTGCTATTGAAAATGGTATTAACGTATTTATTGAAAGATAATTCACATGCCACAAACTTAACCTATTACAATGTATAGATGGTTAAGTAAATTAAGAATTGTATGACCATCACAGTCTAAATATAGAGCATTCTCCTCACCCCCAAAAGTAACTCCATACCTACTAGCAGTCACTCCCCATTTCCCACACTCACCCGCAGCACTAGACAACTGTTCATCTATTTTCTGTCTCTCTATGTTTGCCTATTCTGGACAGTTCATATAAGTGGAATCACAAAATGTGTGATCTTTTGTGACTACTCCTTTCACATAGCATAATGTTTTTTTAAATAGTTTTTTGGGGGTTTGGGGGTTTTATTTTTAGAGAGAGAGAGAGAGAGAGGCAGAGCATGAGCAGGGGAGGGGCAGAGAGCAGAAGACACAGAATTTGAGGCAGGCTCCAGGTTCTGAGCTGTCAGCACAGAGGCCCACATGGGGCTCGAACTCGCGAACTGCGAGATCATGACCTTAGCCAAAGTCAGATGCTTAACCGACTACTTTATTTCTTTTTATTGCCAAATAATACTCATCATATGGATATATATGAAATCATCCATTCAGCAGTTGATAGATGCTTGTTTTATGTCTACCTTTTGTCTATTATGAATGCTATTATGAACATTCATGTACAAACCTTTGGACATGTTTTCATTGCTCTCGAGCATATCTCTGGGAGTGCAATTGCTAGGTCATATGGTAGCTTTACATATATAACATATTGAGAAACTGCCAATTAGTTTCCAACATAGTCACACCATTTTATGATTACATGATCATTATAGACAACAGCAAGTATTGTAAGGATGTGGGAAAAATGGAATCTTCATATACTGTTGGTGGGATCGTAAAATGGTGTGACTATGTTGGAATTCATATGAGGATGACGAAGTTCTCTTCTGGTTCTAATTTGTTGAGATATTTTATCATGAATGGTTGTTGAGTTTTGTCCAGGAATTCTTTTCTGCATTTATTAAGGGGATTTTTTCCCCTTAATTATGTAGCAAATTACATTTATTTTTTTCAAAAATTTTAAATTAATTTTTATGTTTGGGGCGCCTGGGTGGCTCAGTCAGTTGAGCATCCGACTTCGGCTCAGGTCATGATTTCATGG